ATCTTCCAAAATCGATTTTTCATATTGTTTTTTCATGTGTCAATGTGGCTATGCTGACAATAGGTTCCAGTTTTAACACAGCCTAAGATCATTATATTCATAGGGCAGTGTTGAACAAAACAATATTGACGATTTTACGAGAATCATCTATCTTTTATAAAAAACGTATCATCTCTGTTACATATATACGTGCTGGATGGTAAAGTACCATGAAATTAGTTGGAGGATATAAAATTTTCTGATTTCATTTGACAATTCAATTATTACGCAATACTTTCATTTCATTAATTGTGGAGTATACCAACTTTTCTTTTTTAAAGATGATATCAGTAAAAGAATTGTCGATATGTACGAGTTTAGGCAATATAATTTACTTTTTTTTATAAAAAAAATCAACACATTATTATCATATTGTACACAATAAACAGCATGTTTGAACGTGTGGTAGAATATGTATACACGGATATAAGAAATAAACAGAGAGAACTAAAAAAAAACAGAGAAAAATATAATTGGTAACCAGGGGATCAATATTCACTAGAATTTATAAATATATTTAGGGCGTTTAAAACTTCTTTTGTAAATTACTTGACAACGATATGAAATCCATGTAATTGAGATAATGGAGAATAGTTGTAGTTCACAGCATGAGAATTTTGGATTCGTTCTGTTCTTTTTTTTATTAACTTGAATGGTTTACTGGTAGTGTTTAAATTGCCGTTTTAAACAAAAACGTCAGTATATACTTAAGAATGTAACTCAATTATAGACAAAAAGCTACCAAGTTCCAATCGGTCAGCTGCAACGTAGGACCAGGCACATATATGCATCGGTCCAAGTTGCCATACCGCATTAGCACAACAAGATGAACACCGGATTCATAGAAGTAGTTAATTCAGTGGTGGTAATATATAGAAGAAAGATTGCATATAAGGAGATAGTACAGGAAGAAAGAATTAGTTCGTAGAAAAAAAGATTTGAAGTGATTTTAATCTCAGTTTAAAGGAAGACAGAGAGTGTATACACCTACACCATTGTGATCGATTCTGAGCCATGTCATCCACAGTCTCCAACCATTGGTTATGATGGTCACACGGGCCCCAACCAAGTAGTCTGCATCTTCCAACATGGCTCAGACTAGAAGTTAGTGACTTCAAGCACTGATGCCACGTGTCGGTTTGGCCACCCCTAACTTTCTTCCAATCATCCCTAATACCGGTTAGCATTGCCCATCGTAGTAATCAGTGCTCAGGTATACATAACACGTAACCCAACCATCTCAGTCGATGAAGATCCACAATCTCATCAACTGATTTACCATCATTCGCTAATACCTGGCTTGTAATCTCACTATTACTTACCCGGTGTTCCCAGCAGATGCGAGCAATATTTCCAATACATTTGTGATCAAATACTAGCAACTTGCGAGTATCGTTTACTCTCAATAATCACATTTCGCATCCGTAAAGTAGAACAGTACGAACTGCCGCACAGTATAATCGCACCTTAAATGATAGACGGATATCTCGCCTTCGCCATAGGTGACGTAAGTTGGAGAAAACCAAACGGGCTTTTCGAATCTGTGCTGAGATTTCATCAGAAAAAGTCCCAAGTTAACAAAAAAACAATCTGTTAATTAATCGTGAAAAAAATCGAACAGTTCACTTCTTTTGCTTTTCATGGATCTATCAATGTTAGAACACCACTGAAAACCTGGAAGATAAGGAAGGTTGTTTCATCCTGGTATGGAATTCCTCAGTAACGAGAATCTGCAACATTGCAAGTGAGACTCGAATCGAGCACATTTGGTCTGGCACGAACCATTGAGCAGGTATCCAATAGTATTAATATCCAACTTCAATCAATCCATGATATTGCTCGAACATCTTTTATTGTCTCTAGTGGATTGAACATTTACACCATTGAATGCCATCTCAGTAACCTACAGATAAAACATCCATGCGCAAGACAGAAGATCCTGAGTTCAAATCCCGATGAGGTGTTTCATACTAGAATGAAATGGCCTTCTAGGTACTACCAGGTTTTTAATAGTAATCTAATATTGGTCAATTCATGATCTTAATTTAAAGTCAACTATCTCCACAACCCTATACTTATTATTATTACTATTGAGTAATAAATTTTTTCAACCATTAGTTTGTTCATCTAACAATCAGTGATAATTTAATGTTGTACAAAGAATAGATCATATGATTAGAGCACAAAAATTCTGAATATATATATGTGTATATATATACATACGTATGTCTTATAATGGATAAGTAAATCTTAGGCGTGGTATTGTTCACTTAAATCTGATTACTTTAAACAGATGAACATTGAATGAAATGAATTATTAAAATTGAATTTTAGAAAAGAATGAAGCGATAAAAGAACTTATTTCGATTGTTGCTGTAGCTGTTGCTACTTGAAACAGACATTTCTACTATATGCATGTATGTATGTATGTGTATGTATGATGAAGAGTTAGATAGGGAATAAGTTGCTTTCAAGTGATTTCATTTAAATGAAATACTAATTACGAAATTATATTTTAAACTTTAATACCTTTTTTATTACAACTTTGTTAAGAATAAATACTGAATCATTGTATATAAATTATTAGTAATTTTGGAAATAGATTTAACCAGAAAAAATTTAACTGTTTTCTGTTAAACATACAATATTACTTAATTATAAAATGGTCTACTATTGATATCGACGATGAGGCCAGTAGTAGTTAACATTGATTTATATGAGGGTCATGATCTTGACCGGGTGCCAAAGTCGAAAGAGGTGGTTTTTTTAAGGGACACACTCGGAGCCTTCGACATAAAGGTCTGATCCACAGGGCAGTGAAGTAACGTCACAAGATGCAGTCCTATGGTAGCCGTCGATGTGTACTATTGATTTGGAATCTGGGTATTCCAACTCCCTTAAGTGGACTCTCCGTGTCCACCAACGGGGCTAAAGAGCCATACATTCACATCTCGTCTTCTCAATTCCGTAAAAAACACCCGTGTTGCTAGAAGTCAGTGAATAGGACTTCGCTGACAGTAGCTGCATATGTATGGCCATGTGAGCTTTTAGAGAGAGAAAGCGGACACTCCTTACCCTCGGCTGTACCACAGAATTTGGGAGTCATATAAGATTACACGCAAAGATTAACAGAAGGCCCTTTTTTAATCACCTAACAAAGATAATATGTTAGTACACGTATGTTATATAAAAATGAGTAATAGTCGTTTTGTAGAGGATTATCTCAAATCATAGCGGTCACCGTAGAGTCAACCTCTCTAAATTGTCATTTTATTTTAGTAACTAACTAACTAAGTACGTAGAAACAAACTTTTGAGAGTTTGGAGAGAAACTAATTTAAAAGTAGAAGTAAAAATAGAATTTAGAATGCATGGAATAAATGAATACATGTATGTATGCATGTAGGTATGTGTGAGAAAGAGTGAGATATGTAAATAAATAAATGAATAAATTGAAGCATGAAAATGGTGGTGGTATGTTCTTCAAACTGTTATTATCGATATGACAATAATAATAATAATGATGATGATCAGACTAGTAGTAGGAAAGATAGGAGGACGTAGAGAAAAAAAAAACAACACCAATAACAACGAGAAAAATAACAACAAAAACATCAGAATAGAAGGTGTACAGGTTTTCTTCTCTAAAAGAGATATTATTGTATAGAGAATAATATTTAAGCCTACAATAAAGTTAGCTAGACACACATATTGAAGTTCAAACCTTTATAAAGCATAAAAAGGATAGAAGAACGGATGATGACGACGACATTGGCAATTGGTAAGATAATTCAATGCTAAGAGAAGTAAATCATGTGTACATCGATAACATATATACAGGGGATATATCTATATGTACGTGTAGCATACGATGCTCTATATAGTGGGAAGTAAAACAGGTCAATTAAAAAAGGTAAAATGTAATTACCTACTATACTTATGCATTGAGACATCCAGTACATGTATCAGTGGTGCGTAAGCATACAAGCGAGAAGGTAACATATATATATATATATATATATATATATATATATATATAAGGGTATTTTTCAAGTTGCTTAGCTAACAAACGAAATTCGATATCGTTTAAAATAAAATGACCTTGAGAAAAACAATTTCCATTCCATTCATAGACAATATTGTTAGCTATTTAAGTTATTGGAATAATAATTTATATCCATTCATTTAATAGTCAGTTCATCAGTCACCCACTCATTTCTTTACATATACACACACACACACACAAACACAAACAAACAAACAAACAGAGAGAGTGTGTGTGTGTGAGAGAGAGAGTGAGTGAGTGAGGATAGAACGCATGTGTACAGTTATTTATTATGATTAAGTTTGCTAAATTTTTTTTTGGTTTTCTCCCAATAGAAAACTATGAAAGGGAGAACAGAGAAAACTTATCAAAATGACAATGAAGAAAAGAAATTCTAAATTCAATTATAATTTCTATATAAGAAATATAAACTGATATTATACAGATATATTTACGTACTTATAATAATACCGACAACATTATAAGTAAATGAGCAAGCATATCATAATTGAGATAAATCGGTCATAGACAATGAATGATGTTTATAGAATTGGAATAATAATAACAACAACATAATAACCGTTTCCGAGGTGAAAATTTTGATTTTTTTTTTGTTTGTTTTTTTTAAAAAGAAAAAGAAAAAAAAAAGGTAAATTAGAAACAATTCATTATTTCTAATTTACTGGAATTAAGTTAATTAAGTAATTCAGATTAGAAATGAAACAATGAATGATTAAATGTCAATATGAGTATTACATTAAAAGATAGTTGAAACTCATTAAAATCTTATATAGTAATTAATAGATCTATTCACAATTAAGTTTAAAAAGTATATTTATTAATAATTGATTAGAGAATGAAAAAAGAACTTAGAAAAAATTAATTAATTAATTAATTAATTGTAACCAAGAACTTACGGAATAATGCATCATGCATGGATCAGTTGATTGAAATTGTGATCGACCACCACTGGTTGGTGTTTGATGTATAGGACGTGGATGACCAGGTGTAGAACGTGGGAAATGATTCATTTGTAATTCATCTCCAATATAAGAAGGATTCATTGATTTATTAGGAGTTGTAACACAATTAGGAATGGGTTGTTTAACACAATGAACATTTTGATTAGTAGGTGATGATTGTTGATGTGTAGATGATAAAGATTGTGCATAATTACCAGTATTGGTAATAACACTAGATCTACCGGATGCAGCACCAGCTTTACGTTTTTTTGTTCCTGGCTTTGTGATACCAGAACCACGTCCACCAACGGATTGGTTAGTATTAGTGATAGGTACACATGTAGGAGGAATAGAACCGACAACAGGAGGTTGAATAACATTTAATGCTTGACCAGCACGACAAACAGACGGTATTGAACCCGGTTCAATGTGACCAACAAGAGCTGGATTTTCATTATTTTGAATAGGAGACATAGAAAGAGGAATTGAGTTGGGTGATAACCAAATATCACTATTGGTAGCGGAATGGTAAGAACGTTTTTGCCCAGTAGTTGGGATTACACCGGGAGTTATTGGGTCCGGACCGGCTGTACCGATAGGACCTAGTGTCCGGCAAGATTCTGTCGGTAGTGTCAGTGAATCAGAGGACGGATAACCAGGATTTCCAGAACATATATTTGAATTATTTGGTGGAACCATTACAACTGGAGGGCCACTTTGGTAAGCCGGAGGTTGGCAGGTTTGTTGATCAGTCATCATTACTTGTTCTGAAGGCAACATCATAGTTCCAGTCGCCATAGGTGGGACAGCGCACTGAGATGAAAGATTAGCTTCATGAGGAGGAACTGGACAGTTGGACATATCAAAAAATCCCATCTGTCTAGGTCCAGAATAACGCATCATCGATGGATCACTTTTTCCACGCTGATAATCAGAACATAATCTATCCCATTCTTGTTGAGCTGATTCATTATTAATATATGGTCCTCCAACTAAACCGCTCTGACGAAATACACCATAGTTTTCAAAATCTACCGGACGTGTTCCAACAGTTTCAGAATATTGTAATGAATTGTTAATAGCTGAATAATGTTTAAAAAGAAAAGAAATATTGTAAAAATTGATCAAACAGTTTGTATTTATTAGGAAATAAACATTTAAGATGAAAAAAATACTTTGAAAGTATTTAATTTTATGAATAATAATAACTCCACCTGGAGCGCCTCTGGGACTACTATCGATCCCATGCCCGGATGAAGGAGGAGAGTTCGGCATGGAGTTGGGAACCTCATCCTGTAGAAAACTAACTCGGCTAAAAAAAACGCTAACCAGAAATTAATGTAAAATATTATGGAAATAACATAATATTTAACGAATATCCTTCCACTACATTGATTTATCAAGTGCATGTATGTTTATATACTCAATTTGAAGTTACACATTTCTAAACATTATATATATATTATAGATTCAACTTGCTGTGTTAATGAGGTGTGACAACTTGAACGAATGCATATATGTACCTGATCGTACATTGTAGCTGACTAACAAATACTATAGTTATTGATGCTGTCCCGTTTCCATCAAACAGAAAAAATAGAAGAATTGAACCATTTAAACCTATGACTCAAGATATTTGATAATTAGATGATTATTTTACTGTCTATTAAACTAGAACTTTTATAAGATTATTAAATATAAGTTACAATCTGTTAAGCAATGAATTAAAGTAAATAGTGAAGTTCAACAATGTCATATATGAACCAGTTATCCATTAATGATATTGGGAGATAGATTAATTAAATTAACACCAGTTCAAATAGTTACAGAGGAACAAAGTAGTAAGAGTTAGTTTAAAGCATAGAGAAAGGGAAAGAAAAGAGGATTTATGAGTGAAAAAACGAAGTAGTATTTATCATATTCTAATTAAGTATTCTTTATTTGAACATAACATAACTGTGGTTTACTTCTAATTAGAAAAATTGAATTAATATGCAATTTTCTCTTTCTTTCCCTCCCCTTCTATATCACCCACCCACCCACACACACACAAACTATTTGGTTTTCGCCTTTTTCATTTTAATATGAATAATGTACTTTCAAAATATACATAGGACAATTAGTTGTTACCTAAGCTATACTATAAATTAATGATAAATGCATACATATTGCATAATATATAATGAATGAGATAATATAGTTATTATTTACTAGAGGGAAAAAAAAACGAATTATTAACTGTGCACTACAAGCTTGTTCAATGTAGAAGAGATTATGTCATAGATGAAATTACTGAACAGTAATGTTTATAAATGTAAGTATACATGATGAGTTAGTTTTGTTTTTATACAAAACGGTCGAGATTATATCATAAGATATATTGTCAATTGAATATTTACAAGCTGCGTTCACGGTATATATATATATATATATATATATATATATATATATATATCATCTATGTATTTTTTTAAAGAATTAAAATGAGTTATTCACCAGATACTGGCGTGTAAACCACACGCCCAATTGCTCAAACCGACGTAGAACAGGAATCGGACCTTAGAATTAATGACTGAAGGTTCAACACTTTAACCAATGTTGTTAATATTCGACTCAAATGATCATCTAATACAATACGTCATTATTATTATTCCAACCTAAAGTTGTATGGTAGAGTCGAATTAGGTAGAAGAATACTCAATGAATTATGTTATTAAATTCATAATTTAAAAATAAAAATAACTAACCAGAAGGTGGTAGTTGTGCTGAAGGATTCCCTAACCCTAACGACTGTTGTTCCAGTTGTTGTTGGTGATGGTGATGATGATGGTGATGGGATTGCTGTTGTGGTTGCATTGAAAGAGAATTACGCATTAAACGTTGTTGTAAGACAGCACCAGCTGTTGCTGCAGTTATAGCACCTGGTGTTGAAGCACTTTTACTTTTACTTAATGTTGAATGAATTTTTTCTAATTGTGCTATTTTACTTTTACGATTCTCCCATTGTTCTTGAGTTAAAGGCATACAACCATTATCTGGAATACCAATTATCGGTGAAACTAAAGCAGTAGTTGGACCAATACATTGTTTTGAATTTGAATTAGATGATAAGACAGAAGAATGTTCTAATCCACTGCATGAATTAATATCTTGATGTCCTGTACACATATGTCGAAAATAAGATGAATTAGTAGATTGTTTTATATTAATCGGATCGATAATTTCAACTGGAGATCCTTTCATCGTCATATGTGAGTCAAAGGGATATGCTTGTTTTGTGGTGCCATTTCCAGTAATTTGATTTTGTGATATTTGTTGAGTGGATGAAGGATATGATCGATAGTTTCTTTCATCAATTGTTCCATTATTTGATCGTTGTTGTACTTGAGATGATGGTGGTTGTGTTGAAATGGCAATAGTATCATTAATTGTTGGTAACTTGCGATCACCTAATTATAAGTAGTATAATAAAATACACGAAGTGAATACGATCAATTCTTTAAGGTAAAATGAATATTTAAAAAAAAACGGAATAGATCTAAAATACACAAAGAACTATAAACACATGATGTATATGTATATAACAATAACAATAATTCATTAATGCATTTTAATCGTGGGTTTTACAAAGACAAAGAGGATTGTTTACAAACTTTCGAAGGAAACGCCTTATTGAAAAAGAAGGGTGAACTGTGAGTAGAAAAATGTTTATCTGTATTCAAAGCATTGACTTGTAAGTTTTAATTCTGATCTATTCATAATGATATAAGTAGTCCCTAAAGTACCATCATTATGAACTCTCATATAGAAAAGTGAATTAAAACTGGAGTATATATTTACGCTTACATCGGATATGATACTTTATGTATCTACTGTGTTTATACAAAAACAACAATTTAATCGAAGAGGTAATTCAAAGGAATCGTTTAGGCCATATGGAATGTAGGAGTTTACATTTATTATAATATAGTTACTTTCATAGCTGATTCCATTTAAGTCTGCTAGTTATATAAACAGAAAATAAATTATTACCCTCATAGAAAAAAAAAAAAGAACAACTATGAATCGACGTCGACCAAATAAACGTGGTATAAGGTGTTTGTGAAGATTAATGAATTTTACAATTTACGTGAAGGAATAAATTTAATCAACCAATGAAAACCAAGAAGCACTGGACAGCTTCTGTGTTCCAGTATAGGATTACAAATACTCACTGATGCCAATATTTCAATGATTGTTTAGCTAATGTTAGTTCTTGATATTAACTAACAATTAATGAAGCAGTAGATGACAATACAGTGAAACTTGAAATACGAAAATAAAGACTGTTTTAATGTGACCTATTGAAATTAGAATACAAATTCAATATCAGTTTAAAGTTATATTTTATTTCATGATTGTCATTTTTGGTAATAACTTAACCGACTATACATATATGTTGATTTGGAATAAGAAAACCAAAGAGTGAAATTATTCAGCATATTAAGTTTTTGGAAGTTAGCATTCACGATCCCGCATGTGAGACTGGAACCAATGACCTTCAGTTTGGTACATGGACGCTTAACCACTAGACCAATGAGCCGGCATCCAACGGTGTTAATGTCTAACTTCAATCGATCTGGTACACTGTTGAGGAGTCCCATGTATTCCATGTATTCAATGGTGGTCTAGTTTACATTGAGTCATGAATTTCAACTATTAAAATCACTACAATCTCCACAAACCCTAATTCTAATATTGATTTCTTTTAAAATAAAGTTTTTTTATACAACATCAAAATCACTCATTCAATAATCACTGATACAGCATAGTGTATATGCGTTCATCTGTTCAAGTTGTGTTATATTACAAATTAATATGAAGAGATATAATTTACAAAATAACTAATGAAGTCGAAATAACTGTAGTAGCAATGATAGTGAAACTCACTAAACATTGAGAATATGGTTTGAGTAGACAGAATGAAAAAGTACGTGTATAAAAGAATACTGGAATTTAAGATTTAGATAATGGTAATAAATGAATAAGTCTGGATCTATACCACTGATTATGAAACATATTACTTAATGACATTAGGTGTGAAAACCAGTGACATTGTTCCATGTCACAAGTTATATTCAATCGAGGAAGATTTGAATCTGATACATAATGGTTGAAAGTTAAGTATTAGGATCATTAAATCATTTCTTTTCTTAGTTGTTGAATGGCCTACATGTTAAGTTCAATCATTTTTTAAATGATAAATCCAAGTAAATTTAATGTATATTCAATAGTACATTTAAGACATATATTTATTGGTGGTTTGACAATTGAAACACTCAATCTTCGGAAATTCGATGAAACGTTCATAACTATGTGTCATTTACATTAATTTTAATAGTGAATGAATCTTACAACAAATAGTTCAGTATAAATAGTTTTATTGAGGTAACTGTGTTCATGCGAATTCATAGAGATAATCTTGGTTTAAAAAAATATATAGTCTTTATTCACAAGAAGCTCAGTAGAGATAGTGTGTGTGTGTGTGTGACAGAATCTTGTTCTGGTAGATAAAAAAACGGTCAGTAAAAGAAGTCTACGAAGCACAGGATACCACAGTTCACAAGTATATATATTTGGTATATTAGTAGAAATCATGAATATAAAATAAACTTCAGTCGAAAAAAAAGTTTCCTTTTCTAATCAACATATTCACTTACGATGGAATGATGGAGATGATGATGATGTCATATTTGAATTGGAATTAGGAAGACCTGGTGAACTCCAGGATGCTAATGATTCACTGATTACAACACCAGGTGTAGCAGTAGTATTAGTAGATATATTAGGAGAGGAAGGCAATAATTGAATACCACTAACAGTGGAAGTATAATTACTATTATTATTTGTCGTAGTAGTAGTAATAGAAGTAGTATTCATGGTTGTTGTTGTACACATAGCAGAAGGAGTTGTAGTAATAAACATTGTGTTAGTACCAGTCAATGATGTGATAGATTCACAAACCACTGAACTATTATTTTGCATTGGTACAATAGATTGATCAACAATACTATCTGAATTTCTTATTGTTTCATTATTATTTGATATATTATTATTGATACTGCCACCAGTTAACGATGTATACCCAGATTTTGTAGAAGTAACAACCACAGATGATGGTGAAGATAAATTGTATTGATTTGTAGATGAAGAAGTTACAGAATGAGTGGTAGTATTTATAAAAGAATCATGATGATTACAACTGACAACTGATCCAGATGATGATGATGATGATGATGTTGATATGTTGGTATATTCAAGTGAAGCATTAACCTCAGATTTTGGGAAATGCATTAAATCTGGATCACAGGGTGATTGACCAGATAATGATCGCATTTTTGTTAGATCTAGAATAATTAAAGTAAAAATTAAATAGAAAGCTATGGTGGTGATGTAACATTATTGATCATAAATTACACTAAACAAAAAAAAAATCGACACATATCATGTGGTATAAATCATTTTATTGATGATGATGGTGATTATTCCAAAGCGAACAATAAACAACCATTCTCATCATTACATCATTGTTTTTTAATTTAATCAATTAAACTAGTTACTATACAAACAATAAAAAGGTAAATATAATTTTGATCAATAGGGAATAATGTTGTTCATTGAAGTGGCCCCCAAATGGCATGTTATGGCCGAGAGTAGAGAGAATAAGCTCTCCTTCTCAAAATGCTCTCACATAGACAGGTGCATACAACTATTGACAGAAAAGTTCTACTCACTGGCTTCTCTCAACATGGATGTTGTTTATGAAATTGAGAGGATAAAAAACGTTTTAACCGGGTTGGTGGATATGCAGGATCCACCTAGGAGAGTTGGAAAACCCTAATTCCAAATCAATCATGCACATGAGTTCCAGTATCCTAAGGAAACAAATGGCGTATGAACCAATTATTAGTCACTGGCTACCATGAGACTGCATCTCCTAATGTTGCTCCACTGCCTTGTAGATCAGAATTTTAGGTCAAAGTCTCGGGGTGTGGCCTGCTAAGAAAACCACCTGCTTCAGTTTGGGCACCCGGGCAGTACCCCAGCCCTTATGAACCGCTTCTTTGTACCAATGTTTATGTATTTAAATAAATAAAAGAAGTTACAAAGTACTTCCAGTAAGGGATTCCAACAAACCTATTTCAAAACTAGTCACAAATTGAAGTATAATCATTACTATTCAAAGAATTTTTCTCTCTCTCTCTCTCTCTCTACATATATACATATATTTATATATAACACAACGTATAAGTACTTCTAATTTTGTCATTACCCAAGGACACAAGATTCAAATTACTGTATTAGATCAAAATAAGGACAATAGAGAAAAAAAAAACGGAAGTACATAAAGTCAATAACCTTTGATATTAATGATAAATTTAATATATAAGTTACGGAGAGAAAAAATAAACGTGTACAGATCGAAAATAAATTTACATTTTAAAGGGAATGATAACAGTTGAAGAAAGTCTGAAGATATGGACGACATAACCAAAATCTATTATGTTGCTTATGAATTAAAGAAAACAAAACTGATGAAAAGCATTTAAAGCAACTTGAATGAATGTTAACAATAAGAAATGGAATGGTAGATTATTTGATTCACTGTTCAGGGAAGAAAAAAAAAGAGAGTTGAAATCAACTTATGATTCACAAACAATATTTAAACACAAGGAATAAAACAATCTAAAGTATACTGTTTGTATGAGTTAATGATATACTCTACACGATCGCTCTAAACGAAGCAGATAGGGAGAGAGAGAGTTAATAGATGAGTGTTCCATCTAACAAAAAGCCAGAACACATTTAAGTAGTATCATGTAGGTCAGCGTTAGTTTTTTTTTTTCTATAGTAAAAGAGCAAAGATGGATAGTGGTTAGCAGTACAAACTAGCACACACGTTTCGTCTTATTCGAGACTCATCAGCTGAACGTAACTGCATTCCAGAGTTGGTGTTCACTCCAGGAATAGAACCTAGTACCATTCGCTACAAAACGCTATCGCATCATCCACTTAGCTACTGAGTCCTTATAGCCACTGATAATGCTAGTGAATGAAGGAAATAAAGAGGTAATCCACACAGGATGCACATATGCCAATAACAAACTGTTCAATTACAGTCCTAAACATTAATGGCAAGATTCCAGTAAACAATACCAAGTGATTTTATACTAAATTGATAACCAACCTGATTACAGGGAAAAATAAGATATATCAAACTGTGAAAAATATACTTTTTAGAAGAAATTACTATAAAATTTATATAGTGTCATTGAAATGAGACATTTAACCTGAATCGAAGTACAAAATTAACTAATTAGTTAATCAGTAAGGTGAATATCGACGAAAATGGAATGTAAGTACAGTTCCGATATAAGATGAAACGTACAATCTAGATTCCACAGTACAACAACTAACAAATTTGGATACAATCCACAATACATACTGATCAGTGGTAGTTGTTAGCATCAACAATAGGAAAATACAAACCATTACAAATATAAAACCAAATATATAGTTTGAAGATACTGAATGAATTTAACAATTTACTCACAAAGCACTGTGTACAATATGATTAAGGATATTTACTGTGGACAGTAGTTCGAATCCATATTCTAATAGTTAACAGTACAAAGTATATTTGTGTAAGAGTAAGAAGCTAATCACTACTGAAAGAAAACTATCAGCCAAAACTGACGCTAAGCAATCACAATTCTAAACTAACATTGTATTTACCATTATTTTGTGTTCAATTAGTTATTTTACATAAACGAAATACACTTATATTGTGAATAGAAATGCAAAAATAAAATCCATGTAGATGTTACATCCACATAGAACTGTTTTACACATCTTAATGAAAATGATATAGAATCTAATTAATAATCTTAATTCATTCTATTTATATATAATTAAATGTGGTTTGTAAGTAGTAGTAGTAGTACTACTATTAGTAAGAGTAGTAGTAGTAGTATATGTAGTTATTTATTTCATTTTCTTTCGCACTCAACTTATTCACTTTACATCAATACAACATACAACATAAAAAGATGTATATATCTGTACATAATATTTATGAAGAAATAAAGATGAACCATTTCAAGTACTCTAAAAATTACTGATCGATTTCAGTAAACAATACTTAGTTTATCGATATATATAAACAAGTAATCTCTTACTGATATGCTAATACAAACATACACAAAGTACACAGAATAGGCACATTATTCAATAATTAAAATCCACAATTACTTGTATCATTTTCGATTTTCATAGTATAGAGAAGGTGATACATATGTATTAATTATATTGTGGCTTTATGCAATAGAATATGATGGCGGAATTATAATGATTACTAATAGTAATTATTACTATATATAATGAATAGTTACATTAGCATGGTTTGTAACAAGAAGATGAAAAGAGAGAAGTATAATTAAACATTGCAAGTGAACAGTTAGCAATTTTTTTTTTAAAAGAAGGAATATTCTGCTTAAATGTGAATTCATCAAATCATATGATCACAACTTGGTTTATTTACACAACAACTAACAACATTTTAATAATGGTATTTAATTCATCCAGAAAATTACTTGTTTTCCAAGTGTTGAATTGTAGATTTAAAATCTAGGTCCTATCTGATTCAATTTGAACAGCTTGGGTGGTATCAACATTGTGTTGTTTCCCTCTATCTTTATTTCGCTCACAAACACACACACATACAATAAATCACAGAATTGAGTATAGGAACCTGAACATAGTTATTGAATTGCATAACGATTATACTGAAAAACTAAATGAAATCAATATAAGTGTGTTTCCAAGGATGCGAAAACTTTTAGACAGTGCGGAATAATCGCTTGTAAATATGTACTGAGATAAGTTAGAAATTAAACAAAGATCTTTTTTATTGCAAGATTTCCCTCTCCTTTCTACCCTTTGCTTGATCTAATTTGACCGCATTTTAGGAAAAATAAACTGATGGTGATGGTTTAGTACACGCTCAAATATACAGATATTTGTTGACCAGTATCTTTAGGGTTCGAAACCAGTGACACTCTATATAATTTATGATCAGGTAACTCTCATATTTAAATTATATCTTAGAACTTAATGTACTTGGTAAGTGACTAACAAATTACTGGAACGTGTGAAAAATTAAACCAAATAAATTACGTTTTTGGAAAAAAAGGAAGATCACAAACACTTAGACTTGTCAATCAGTAATGATCCATGTTTAGCTTTAACAAAATAAACATATTGATGTAAGAAAATTTCTATTCACATAGATTATAAGCAGATGAAGGTATTTCTACATATATTGTCAGTCGTGAGATAAATACAAATTTCTTTATGTGCTGAGAAATCTTAAAAACAACTCTACATAGCTCCTTATATTATAACTGTTCATCATTTATTAAAGAGAAAAACTGCATTCAATAAGAAAAATATAACTTCTCCTGGATTCTCTCTGGGTTGGGAAATGCTGGTCAGCGGCCTATACTCCAATGGGAATAACAGGTGTAAATAAGTAAGTAATAAGAAGACTATAATACGGATATCTATATATTAGATAAATAGATAGATAACAAATACCATAGCAACCGAAATAATACTTGAATAAAAAGAAATATCAAAGGTAAAACTTCCTATGTAGAAATTTTTTTTTCTAAAGAAATCATAGATAAAACATGGAAATAAGTTAACAAAAAAAAATATAAGATTACAACGGAAAGGATAAATTACACTTAATGAATCTATGAGAATATATATAGCTATAGTGTGGATATGGTGTTGTTACACATCGTTTAAATAACAGAAAATATACAAATATGGTACAGTAACAATTTTTGATATATATATATATATCATTCAGCATAAGTATCATTTCCTAATCTATTCATCCACCTTAATACTGAATACTTGATAATAATAATAATAATCTCCGGTTTCCCCTAACTTATCGTTTTTTCTCTGATACATTACTCTTTGTTATATATATAAAAGCAAGGAAATAAGACCATGTACGTTTGTCCACAAAATTACCTACAATGTTTTTAGGTTGACAATTTATTTTTCGTTTATTATCTACCTCTACCAACCTACATAAAATTTATTTGATTGATTCACATATCGTTTTTTTTCCTCTCGCTAAATCTCTGTAGAACAATAGAAGAATAAGTACATAGACATATATATATATATATATAGCAAGCTAGTAAAGTTCAACTCATAAATTGTCTTACTTTCCTCATATAACTATTAAGTATACAATAATTTCCCTTATCACACAAACATACACTAACAGTCTATGACTATTTCCTAATAATCCAGTTATTATTATTAT